TAAGCACTGCACTATGAAAGCCAAGATTCACACTTGAGGCTCCTATGGAAGGGAGTAGCCTTTTCTGAATTGTTTAACATTATGTGGGTCATTTAATCAAAGAGGAGGTAAATTCTAATAAGACGAAGGAACGTTCCAGACTGCCTGGACAATAGGTGGAGATTTTTTAGAATCCAGCTACTGCCCCGCTGTTCAGTATATGTTCTGATGTTTCCTGTTATGGTGGATGGTGGGCATGTCATGTAGCGTGCTGATGTATTACAGTGAACTTACACTGAGCTGTAAGGGTAGTCTTGGATCCCTCAGCTGATGGGAGACTGATCTAGGCAGTGAATCTCTTAATCCTCACATCAAAGGGAACTAGCCCCTATTTTGGAGGTATAGAAACTGTTATCCCCAGGTGACTCAGCTGCTCCCTGTATCACTAGAACTTGAGTTGTTGTAATAAAACATAGTGATTATCACACGGGTATAGAAAAACTTGATTTGCAGTCCCTAAAACTGAAAAACAGGTTAGTTTTGGAGATGAAATGCCATGAAATAAGAATGTTGTAATCTGTGTGGAAGAAACGAAACTCTATTGAAGCTGATTTGTTCATTTATTTTGACAGAGAGAGAGAGAGAGAGAGAGAGACACTCCATCTCCTGGTTTATGCGCCAGGATGGCTAGGGCTAACCAGGCTTCAGGATCCTGAAATTTTATCCCGTCTCCCACATGGATAGCAGGGTCCCAAGCACATGGGTCTTTGTTCACTGCTTTCCTTGGTGCCTTAGCCGGGAGCTAGATCAGGAGTGGAGGAGTTGAGTCCAGACTCAGACTGGCTCTTGCTTGGGATGTCTGTATGGCAGGTGATGGTCCACCCTGTAGTGCCACAGTGCAGCCCCTTGAAATTGATTTTTAAACTCCTTTAGATTCCTTAATCTGTGCCCAGTGCAATTAGCTTAATTGGCTAATCTTCCCCCCTTTAAGTGCCAGGATCCCATATGTGCTCCAGTTTGTTTCTCGGCTGTTCCTCTTCCCATCCATCTCCCTGCTTGTGTCCTGGGAAACCAGTGAGGATGGCCCAAAGCCTTGGGACCCTGCACTCGTGTGGGAGACCTGGAAGAAGCTCCTGGCTCCTGGCTTTGGATCAGTTCAGCTGTGGCCATTGCAGCCACTTGGGGAGTGAATCAGCAGATGGAAGATCTTTCTCTGTTTCTCTTTCTGTGTAAATTTGTGTTTCCAATAAAGATAAATCTGCCAGAAATATTAGTTCCATAAGCCTCTAAAATAAAAAATTAGCTTTAGTGCTTGCTATAAAGCTTTTTTGATGCTAATGCTTCCAATCTAAATATATAAATATTTTCTGCATATACATATGTTTATATATAATTAATATCAGATTAAGTTTTTAATTGCTGTGAAATTTCTCACCTACCTAGTGTAAGGAATAAACTTTTATCCTGATACAAATTGCTGTCACAAGAGAAGCATAGCTGCAAGTCATGGAATAAAATCTAATTTCAGGTCAGTTGAATGGAAAATTTTGACATGGTTTGGCATTTTCTTGGGTGTGTTTATCGACCTCATACAATACATTAATTATTCCTAGGGATGCAGTGTGATTTTTGACCATTATGGAATAACAAAAAAATCATGGCAATCACAATCATTTTCCTTTTACTAAAGTGAGTGCAAATTTATAGATATGTAATATAAAGTAGAAGTTATTTTTCTTTTTATTGTTTATTTATGAATAATATTTCACAATCCAAATAACTTATAGATATGGCTATCCAAGTTCATAAAAACCATGTATTCGTTTATATTCTTTTTACCTTCCAAACTGGCGATTAGGAAACAATTTCAACACTTACATTGGCATTATCTTAGTATTTGGATATGATATTTATTTAGGTCCTGAGAAAGTGAGGAAAGGAGAAAGTGTGCAGGTATTTTCTGCTTCAGTGTATAATATTTATTTGTTTATTCAGATATAATGTTTATTTAGTGACATTTAAGAACACATTTCATGAATTTAAATTTTTTGAAAAGTTGAGAGACAAATATACATGGAGAACCGTCTCTCCTCTGTATTTTTTTTTAATAAATTTTTTATTTTGACAATTTTTACATAGTTAATTTGGGCAGAAAGGGTCAAGGGCTACAGGAAAGTGGGTAAGACTATTATTTCCATATTGCTTCCTAAATATATATGAGGTAGAGGGGGATATTGAGGGAGAAGCCCCACCCGGTTTCCCACCCACCCCAAGTCCCACATGTGGGGCATGCTCCGAGATACTCGTTGAAGTGGTTTCAATAGGTCACCAGTTTTGAAATTGCTGCCAATCTTGCCTCTCCAAACACGATGAGGTTGTTGAAAAATCCATTAATTGACATTGTCCATCATAGCGTCTCTATTTGCCCGGTATTTTGTTGCCAACCTATAGCTGAGGTGGTTGATTAACTTATTCCATCTTCTGTCCCTTCATGGTTTGAGTTCTGAGTCTGGCATTTCAATTGGGGGATCACCAAAGAAACTTTGTCTGAGGTGTTCCCAGACCAGATACTTGTATGCACCAGCAAGTGCAGGGCCCAGCACAGTTTATCATGCCAGTCAGCTGGTAGTTGCAGTTGCTGGTTTGGTTCTGTTTTCAGCCCCGCCTTCCACTGGAACCAATGGGTGTTGCAGTCCAGCCTGGTTCTGTCCAGCACATACTCGGTCTTCACTGAAACCAGTGGAGCCGCATCCTGATGAGAGCGGCCCACAATAACCCCCACCAGGCCCACCCCCTACCCTGGTTTGCCAATATGTGTGGCTGACCAGTCCAATCTGTCCCACATCCCCCTTGGCTCTCATACATGGCAAATGGCATTGAAGCTTGGATCTATCTAACCAGCTCAACAGTCAAGCCTTCACGGGTGTGGTTGAGTGCCTCTCTGTCTAGCTACCCCAGCCCCGGTCCTAGTTCTCGTGCCCTCCCGTGGGAGTGGTAACCCAAGAGGGGGGAACCCACTATTTCCCTCCCAGGTCTCTCACTCCCGGATTGTGCACTTTCCAGGTGGTTCTGCAGTTTAACTTGACAGGATTAGCCCCCAGTGCCAGTTTCTGTCAGCTGATGCTGCGGCTATGCCCAAACAGCCCTCTCCCATTCTAATTGTAGGTTGCACCCATAGGAACAATCAACCCATCCTGGCTTTTCCCTGATCTAGTCCACATGAGGCGCACAGTGTTGTAGCCCTGCTTAGTCTGGTCCGCTCTCCTCTGTATTTACTCCCCAGATGTCTGCAGCAGGTGGAGCTGGGCCAGGTGAACGCCAGGAGCTAAGAGCTGTATCCTGGTCTGAGGTGGGCAGCAGGGCAGGGACCCACCTGGTTGTGCCATCGCTGGCTGCCCTGCAGGGCGCACGGTCGTGGGAAGTGGAAAGGAACTCTGGAACAGAGGCAGACCCCACCCTCTCCAGGGTGAGTGTGGGGTCCCACATGGCTAAACCAGGTGCCCACTCATACACATTGTTAGTGGCAGAACTTAGTTTGTGGCCCTGCTTTTTTCCTCAGATGTAAGTAATATTCCTCTTACTACGTTTCAATAAGTTTGGAGGGGCTTGTTCAAGCTCACAGAAAGATTGAAACTTTAGGAAATTTAACTTTAAAACTGTATGCTAGAGTATTGATTGTTCTTAACTATAAAGACAGCCAAACTAATTGGGAATTTTTTTTTAACTCCTTTAGTTGAATAACAATCTTCCCTGGTTTGCCAGGATTCTTAAAGTTGGATTATTGTTCATTTCCACTGCAGTGGTAGGCCTCCGATGTAACAACTGAAGTCCACTGCCAAGAGGTTGTGCTTTTCTTCTCTTTGGGGTTTCTTTTCTTTCCTTTAAAGAGAGAGAACAGTCACAGATTGACGATCGCTTTGGGGACAAGCACTTCCATTTGTGCTTGTTGTGTATCTTAACTACCTTCTAGTTTTCTTAGGTATCACATTATTTTTAAACTTATATGCAGTGAAATTCACTCACTTTTGTGAACAGCCCTAGTGTGCGGCATGTGGATTTGTTGAAGCAGCATCTCGGTGAAGATGGAGACGAGCCCTGGCACTTCCGGAACGTTGCTTGTGGAGTCCCTCCTACCCGCTCCACCTTCAACCCCTGGCAGCCACTGTTCTATTATTTATCCCCCGAGTTTTACCTCTTCCATAAGGCTGTGGAAATGGAATTGGTTCAGTCTCGCTTTTCACTTTGTGTAGCGTGGCTTGGACGTGTTCATTTTGTTGTGTATACATTTTTTGTTGAAGAGTAACGTAACGTTGAGTAAAAAGACCACTGTGTGGGTGTGATGGTTGGTTTGTTCATTCACTGGTTGGGCTGTTTCCAGAGTTGGGGGATATTGAATAAATCTGCCCTGAACATTTACTTGGAGGTGTTGGGAATGAACATGTTTTCATTTCTCTTGGCTACTTGGTAGAATTGCACAAGCTAACTAACTATACATTTAACTTTATAAAAACCACCAAATTGTTTTTCAAAGTGGCTGTACCACTCGGAAAGCCATTTTCAGTTCCCAGAACCATATTTCATTTGAAAAGAAAATGAGAAAGTGTGCAGGTATTTTCTGCTTCAGTGTCTTTCCTTGGGGCCAGCATTGTGATGTAGTGTGTTAAGCCGCTGCCCTGTTGACATCCAGGCAGGCACTTGTCTCTGCTGCTTCACTCCGACCCATCTCCCTGCTGGTGAGGCTGTCACGTGCTTGGGAGACCCAGGCTCCTGGCTCTGAGCTATTCACATCCTGCGTGTTTGGCCTGAAGATTTCTCTTTCTGATCTCCCCTTGTCTTTCTGTAACTCTGCCTTTCAAATAAATTAATATATCTTTTAAATATCCGTATTCACAAAAAAAGCAAATAATCATTCAAAAATTGGCAGTTTTGTTTCTTGTGTTCTTGTGTTACTCAAAGATAACTTTGAAAAATCAGGCAGAGAAAAAAAATTTAAAAAAAATCAGGCAGAGGATTTGATGTTTGATATTGTACTCAGAAGGGATTTTTAAAAGTTTATCGTTTTGATGAATGAAAAACTTTATTGATCATAGTGAATTTCTTGTGGACTCTTTCTCACCTTTTTCTCTACTTTGTGCAGAAGCGCTTCAGAAGTTACCTTCTGCTGAGGCAGAAAAACATTCATGTTCAATTTGGCGTGGAAAGTACAATAGTAGGTTTATTATTGCATTTTATTAGGTACTCAGTACTCTTCCAGATGTGAGAGTAAAAAATGAAGAGGATCTGCTCCCTTCATAATTTAATTCTACTGCTAAGTGTGTACAATATGAAAGTACAGAGGGATACACTCTTGAAGGGGTGTTGGCATTTCATGTGGCAGCATTGGGTCAAGTCCCACGGCTCTGCTTCAATCCAGCTTCCTGCTGATGTGCCTGGAAGGCAGTAGAAGATGGCCCAGCTGCTGGGGCCTTCACCTTCCATGCTAGAGACCAGAGGAGAGGTCCCAGCTGCTGACTTTGTCTTGACTTGGCTCTGCCACTATGACTGTGAAGCAGCAGGGGGAAAATTCTCTCTCTCTCTTCCCTTTCAAATACATAAGATAATCGTAAAGTATTATTGTGGTGCGATATAGGCCTGTCTTTATGCTTCTACTTTTTTCTCTCTTTTTCAGTTTAGTCAGGGCTTGCTTAGAATCATTTGAGATTTGGAAGAGTTGCAACAGCTGTAGAATCCTAGTGTACCACACACCCAATTTCCCCAGATGTTGGCATCTTTGATTCCTGTTGTGCTGTTTTCAGAACTAAGGCACTCACAATGGGACAGGGCTCTTCACTGAGCTCCAGATTTTATTCAGGTTTCACTTCGCTTTCCATTCTGGAATCCAGTTCCAGTTTTAGTCATCATCTCTCTTTAATGTCCAATCTGGTTTAGTCTCTCAGGCTTGATTTGTGTCTTCTTTGCTTGCTTATTAATTTAGTCACTTGATTCTATCAGTCTAGATTCATGTACATATATTTTATCATTTGAGATCTAATTTATTTTGTTGTGCAAATTGTTAGACGCCTGAGAAATTCCTCGTTTATTTTAATGTACATTAAAATATCACTTTAATGTACTAATAAGTTTTTGTTTGAGTAGTTGGTGAATTTCTGACCCTACAAGATGCTCAGGGCTCATTTTGCGTGTTTTCCATTCCTGCTTTGTATTCTTTGGAGAGTGGTATTTAGAAAGCAGAGTCAAGGCGCTAGATGTGCTCATTGCTGTTAGGATGCAACCAAACTGAACTGGCATCCAAATGGAATGCTGTTGTTACAGGTAACAGTTTTATTTGCTGTGCCGCAACTCTGTACAACTTTTAAGCTAATCCAGTTATTGAAATTTGGTATTTTCAGTAAATTTATTTGTTTTTTCTTAGTTGCATGGGACCTTTGGACTTTTCTTCCCATGGATTTGTAGTTAGAGCTGGATTTTAGAAATTGCTTAGGTTTCTCCCAGGGAACTTGATTTCAATTTTACCACAATTTATTTAATAATGAATTTTTAAAAAACTGATATTTCCTGTGCTTGCTTCGGCAGCACATATACTAAAATTGGAACGATACAGAGAAGATTAGCATTGTCCCTGTGCAAGGATGACGCACAAATTTGTGAAGCATTCCATATTTGAAAAGAAAAAAAAAAACCTGATGTTTGTTACCTTTTTTAAAAAAAATTTTATGGCACAATTTCATTTTGTCTGAGATTTCCCTCCCCCCTCCCCAAGTTCCTAAATCTTGACTGATTTTCCTGATATTATTACAATAGTATAGTCCTATAAGCAGTCATAAGTCCATCATTTTGTTATTTGTGTCCTGACATTGCTGGCACACACAATACCAGACGGTCCAGCATTCTATGTCAAAATATGTCCAACTGTTTCATTGGGAGCCCATCTTTGATTTGGAAGTAGAGATGCATACTGCATTATATCTTCACATCTGGATATGATCGTCTCTTAGGCCATCACTGTACATTTCCTTAAATGAGAAGCCATGTAACAAAGTCAACAATAGGAATGAAGTTAAAACAAAAATTTTCAGCACCATGGGGTTAAACAACATACCACTGAATAACTGATGTGTCGATAAAGAAATGAAAAAGAAAAACAACAAAAGCCTCTTGAGTAAAATGATGCTACTGTGGTATCTACAAGTCAGTGAAGAATTTGATAAGAGAAAAGCAACTTTTTTGAAGAAATGAAAATAAAAGCAAAAATATCAAAACCCATGGGTTGCAGCAAAAATAGTATGGAAGGAGTTGTTGATCTTACAGTTTGTATGAAGGCTGCCTTATATCAGCAAGAACATATGGTATTTGTCTTTTTGGAATTGACTGAACATATGGTCTCTAGTTGGGACCATCAAGTTGCAAATGGTGTAATTCATTCTTTTTAATGGCTGAATAATATTCCATGGAGTGGACATACCACAGTTTCTTTAATCACTCCTCTTTTGACGGGCATCTAGGTTGTTTCCATGAATTTGGTATTGTAGATTATGTTGCTGGTTTCTTACTTTTTGAGCTTTAATCCATTTTAAACTGTCTGCTTTCGGAAATTTTAAGTCACAGGGAGAAGTAAATGATTGTAATAACTGAAATGTAATTTATTTGATTTATATCCCCCTTTGGTCCTGGATTGGAATAAGTGTTAAAAATTGTATTAAACCTTGAATTTAAAGTAACAAAGTAAGTTTAAGTATATGAGATATTTCTGCTGTAATAAGGAAGAATATGTTCTTTGCTTTAACTTTGGTTTTTATTTCCTTTGCAGAGAATGTAGCTGGTCACTACATATCCCCCTTTCATGATATTCCTCTGAGAGTGGACCCTAAACAGGTATATTTTAACTTGTTTTGGAAATTCAGAATACTCGTTTCTAGTATGTGCCTTAAAAATGGTCAGTAAGAGAGAGTTACTATAACAAAACTGAAAGCTTTCTTTGTGAAGTAAAATCTGTGTAAGGATAGGATTCTTTTAGGAAGATTTGGGGAAAGGGTACCAGCGAGCCATGAAGTTGAGATTTGAGGAATATAAAGGCTTAGGGGTGAACATTTAGGAAGTCAACTAGAGGTTTATTTTCTAAATAACATAGTTAACATTTTTGGGTTCTTTTCTATTTGCTAGCTGTTATATAATATGAACATATTATATATACATGTTATATATATGTATGTGGACATATAGTATGAACTTCTAATGAGTTGCTATTATATTCTCCAAGGACACTAAAGCTGAAGGCATTTCATTAATTTGTCTGAGACCACATAGCTGGTGAGTGGCAAATCCAGGTTTTGAACTAACATTTGGGATCACCAATCTCATGCTAAAACTCCATAGACTAGATACTAGCAAAATAAGGCTGCGAAAACAAGGTAGTGTTTGAATACTTACTGTTATGGAGCTAAGTGACTAGGCAGTTGTTAAGGGGGTAAAGAACGTCAGCCAAGTTGTGGAAAATTTCTGCTGTTAAGTACAATTTTGGTTTCAGTAATCACTGGGGGTATTTTGAACTCTCTTATTACTTGGCAAGATGACATAGTTGACAGCAGATACTAATGATCATCATTAATTTGGAAATTTTTTTCTTTTAAAAATCCTAAAATCTGGGGCTGGCACTGTGGCATGTAGTAAGCTAATCCTCCACCTCTTGGTGCTGGTATCCGTATGGATGCTGATTCATGTCCTGTCTGCTCCACTTCCCATTCAGCTCCCTGCATATGGCCCGGGAAGGCAACAGAACATGACTCAAGTTTTTGTGTCCTGCACTGACATGCAAGACCAGGAAGAAGCTTCTGGCTCCTGACTTTGGATTGGCTCAGCTCTGCCCATTGTGGCCATTTGAGAGTGAAGCAGAAGATGGAAGCTCTGAAGCCCACTCGCTCACTCTCTCCCCTTCTGTAACTCTGCCTTCTAATAAAAATAAACAAATCCTAAAAAAAAAAAAAGAATACAAGTGGTGACTGTTGAGTAAAGTAAATAACCAAGACTACATCCTAGGTTTTGATAAAATGGGGTTTGCTAATGGGATTGAGTTTTCATTTTTATTGAAGTTTTTTTGTTTTTCCTTTTTATAAATTCGAAAAGCTGAGACAGAAAAAAATATGGCCAGTGCTCCCATCTGTTGCTTCAGTCCCAGTTGTCCACAATGGCCAGGGCTAAAACACAATAAAAGCAGTAGTCCAAAATTCAGTCCTGTTCTCCCTGTGAGTGGCAGGATCCCAACCACTGACCACCGTCCTCTGCCTCCCAGGGTCTGCAGTGCCAGGAAGGAAGAGTCGGAAGTAGAGCCGACCTCACCTCCAGGCGGGCAGTCTGACATAGGATTCAGGTGTCCTCCTGACTCATGACTTCACCCCTAAGCCAAAGACTGCCGCTGAGGTTGGGTTTTCCAGAACTGTTGGAAGATGAGGGAAGGGGTAGAGACCTGTGAGGAAATCAGGAAGGTGCTAAAGATGCAAGAGTGATTTGACTTCCTTGGGATACTTCACTCAGACTGAGTGTCACACACACATGTCCTTCATGAGGTTTTGGAACTCTGAAGCAGGGCCCGTACTGCCCTCTAACCCTGTCAGTGACATCGGCGAAGGGGAAAATAGTGAGGATGCATCAAATCTGGTGACCTCAGCCAGGCTTCCCCATACTTTATCTCTGTCCTTCTGGAACTGCTATTATTTTGAAATGAGGTGATTTGTTCCTGGCCACAGGTCTTGTCTGCTGTGGAAGTTATTAAATTTAGCTCTTCTACCACCAGTTTGTACTCTTTACTTCTGTTGTGTAATGCCCCAGCTCACTACTTCTAAATGTTTAGCTATAGGCCAAGGAGTCTTATGAATTTGAAGAGAGAATGAGACCAAAGAGAGGGAAGGAGGAACTCTGTGGCCGTGTATGTCTGTATGAGTGAATGTGTGTGCCTGTGTACACTCACGCACACATGTTTTGGCCAGTGAACCACCAAACCTAAATAATCTCATGTTACCTAACATGTCTCCTTGTTTTTGTCCAAAAGCGCTTACATTCATTTATTCACTTTTTCAACAAAAAAATCATTTTCTGCTGATTGTGAGCCAGATGCTGTTCCAGGCACTTGGGATACAGAAGTGAATAAACTAGAGGTAGCTCCCATTCAATTGAAGGAGAGAGACAACCTACAGTGAGCCACCTAATATTAAGTGCTGTCAAAACACACAACAGGGAAATGTGAAATCAAGAGTGACTAATGGGTGGTATTATAAGGAATATACCCTAGCAGACTCTTCATCTGATGCCAATAGTAATAGATCTCTGTTGTCAAGAGCCATGCAATGAGAAAGGAGAAAGTAGGAACTAAGAGTATTCTGAGAACATCTGAGGGATATATATGCCAGCTAAGGAGATTGGGGTTTCAGGAATATGAGATTTGGGATTTAGGATAGAACAGTACAGAATCAAGTAGGCATGTCAGTGCATTCCAAGGATGCAGAGGTGGGCACCCATGATTCCCTAGTCCTCAGGCAGCAGTGACAGCACTCTTGCACCTGGTCCTCTGGGGTGTGGTAATTTAGGAACAGAAATGCTTTCGAGCTGACTTGTAATAATTATTTTTCTGTTTACTTTGATTCCTCCCTTAGTAGATGTTTTGGTATATAAATGTTGTGTGTACTTGGTGAGCATTTGTGAATGGCACAGTTTCTCTTCCCAACCCAGCATGTGGTCTGTTTTAATTTAAAAGTGTTTGGTGGTGGCACAGTTATCACACCTTGGTGGAATTCACGGGAGGTATAGCAAGTGCTTTCCTGGCTTGTTAGCTACGCTCCCTGGAGCTTCATTTCAATAATGAAATGACTGTTTTAAGCATAATCACTAGAAGCTGCCAGTCTTTCCTTTAAGACCGAACAGAGCTTTTGCTTATTTCCTAAAACTTAGAAAATAAACTTGAAGGAGATGTAGCTTTTCTGATAACATAGTTTGTGAAACACTTTTGTGCTGTGTTCTCTGGGGATACAGTTACTGAGGGAAAACATCAGTGGGCACTTGGTGTCCTTTTGAGTCAAATGTTTGTATAGCTTCTTAGTGGAATGTTTAGTAGATATTTTTAACTTTTAAAAATTCATTTTATTTATCTGAGAAACAGAGACTGAAAAGGAGACAGAGAAAGAGAGATCTCTCAGTTGCTAGTTTATTCCCCAAATGCCCACAGCAGCCAGGGCTGGATCCTGCTGAAGCCTGGAGCTAGAAACTTCTGGGTTTTCCATGTGGGTGGAGGGACCCTGCTGCTTCAGGCATCACCAGCAGCACTCCCCATACCCCCGGGGCAGCATTAACGGAAAAGTGAGAATTGCCAGGTGACTCAGAACTGAAATCCTGGCATTCAAGTGTGGGATGCAGGCATCCTGTGCCAGATGCCTTCCTCTGTAGTTATCTTTTCACTGCTGTGCAGTGCCTCTGGATTCTTTCATGAAATACTACAATCATAAATATCATCTTTTCTTTTATAGGAAAATGGCATTCCTACAAAGAAAGCACGGAATGATGAATATGAGGTATACACTCTTGAAGATCTTCCTGATAGTTTGCATTTGTAAAGTGCCTCTGAAGTTTTCCTGTTGCAAGACACAGGTGTAATTCTGATGTTCTTCACATACCTGTTTGAGGCTACTAGGGTAGATACCACCGTTCTTTAATCCTAATGAAGGATAAAAGTTACTATTTCAACCTCTTTTTGTGTACAATTCAGTGGCATTAAATGATATCACATCATTGTATAATCATCACCAGTGCCCATTTCCAGAATTATCATCATGAGCTGAAACTCCATACGCATTGAACCATCCCACATTTTCTTCTTCCTCCAAAGCTCTGGTGACTTCTGCTCTGCTCTCTGTGGATTGTTTTAGGTACTTTTTTGCCATTTCATAGCATCAAGGCCTGAACCCATATTTATTTACTTTTTCTGGTAGATGATCTGTGGTCTGAAGTCTGTTTTACCTGGAAGTTTGTCAGTTAGTTTTCTTCTTTGTCTTACTGTGAAACAAAAGATTAAGAGACCTATTTTCCCTCTAGTAACAGACTCTTTGGAATAGAGGAGAAGGAAAAAATTAATCAATTATATACAAAAGTTAATGTATTTTAAATAAATGCTTTAAATATGCAGCTGTCAAACCTTTGATAGTGTTTTTCCTTGGATACTGATTGGACTCTGTCACCCTGTGTCTTGCTGTGGGTGCCCTTTTATCCTGCTGGTGCTAGACGGATTCTCCTGCCCTGCTTCATGCTTTTCCTCCCCTTTCCGGCACCATTTCCCTTTGTTCTCTGCCTTAATTGAAACTCAGGAATCCAGCCTTTGAGTTCACTTCTGCACATTTTTGTGGGAAGTTGTTTTATTTCTGCTCTTTTTGCCTGCTGCTCATCTTTTGTTTCTCTAAACTGATGGTTGTCAAAACAGTTCTTGAATAATCTCCACTAGAAAATGTAGAATGTACATTTAAACTTCATATTCCTGACCCAAGTCTCTGCTTGGTGGGACCTCTTTAATCTTGACATTGAGCAAGTGTCCCTGGTATATACTGAGCGTGAAGTTTGAGGACTACTTTCGCAGATGTGGGAAGGACATATATGCAGGTATTCAAGGCTTTATGGGTTCCTAGGAAGTCTGTGTGTTAACCTTAAACAGTCATTTCAATGGCAAAAGCATAGCCTTTATCCAGATAACCTTATTTAAATTTAATTCGTAGAACACAATTCATATGTTAGGGACTATCTAATTTGAGTTTATATGAAAGTGTGAGAGTTAGAGAGGAAGTTTTGCGAGAGTTCTTGTTTTGTTCCTGCATGCAAAGCATACTGACTGCTTTTTTGTGTTTGTTACTAGTTTCTCTTGTTTATTTGTACAACTAAAATATAAGGTGAACATGAAGAAGAGGAAAAGAAGACAGGATTAGGGGAATTAAGTATGCTAACCACACATGCAGCCTTTTGATTTGGTTTATGCCCCTTTTGTTTTCTTGATTTGCTAATAAATTTTGGCAGAACATTGTTGGTTTAAAGTTAGCTGAATGCCTTTTAGTTTGAAAGAAAGACATCAAATATGCTCTTAGTGGTCAGGAACAAGCTGTCAGGAGGGAGTGGCATGGTTTACTGGCTTCGAATTCAGACCTGTTCTTCATTTATTGTTCTTTAAGCGTAACTCAAGTTTCTGGGAGTGGTTTAATAGGTGTCATTGTAAAAAAGCACTTGTCACCAGCCTGGTCTTGTCTGTCATCTCAGAGTATTCAGCATTTGTTCTCCTATAGCCAGATTTTCAGGGATGAATAAATTATGTGAACATCTGCCATTTACTTAGCTTTTCTTTTTAATAGCTACTTCAGATATATTTAGACAGGTGCAGGGGTACCGTACCTCATAAAAGGGAATGGAAAAATGAAACGTAACAGCAGGTCTGCGTGTAAGTTTTGCTAAGATAGGAGTGAGGCTTTTCTAGAAATGAAGGAGTTGTGGAGAGCTCGTGGCTTTGTTGTGACTCTTACTTCAGCTTTACAGTTTTACCATTGTAAACTTTAGTCTTATCTACAAGTGCTTAATAAAACCGTCCTTGCTTCTGTGGTTCAGTATATATTTGCATTAATTGCATAAATGGCATTATTTGAATTAACAGCATTCTTTGTTTCAGGAAGAAATCATTGTGATGTTGTAATGCTTTAAACCAACCTCAGCTATATATTAAAATTGCTTGGAGAGCTTTTAAAAATAATCAGTGCATACCACATGGGTTGAAATCAAATGAATGAAAGGTAGAAGTTTAGGATTCTTTTTTTCTTTTTTGGTTAAGGCCTGCCAGGTGATTTTATGTGTGGCACAATTGAGAATATTGAATCACTGCTTCTCAACCTGTGGTGAAGAACTAGTTTTCTGGATTTATTCTAATCTATTATAAGCTGACACTTTAAAAATGTATTACTGCAAAAGTAGAATTCAAGTTCTAGTTTTTGATGATTCAATTCAGTGGACTTGAAAATCACTGTGTCTAATTGCTGTAAATATGTCTAAATGAGCCAGTAGTAATCAGGTTGCTTATTGACCCTGGTCCAAGGCCACACTTGAAGTAGTACTGTTTTAAATCATAGTGCATGCATAAGATGCTAGTTATTGATAGCAAAATAGTATGCAAATCAACTTCAACCCTAAGAGTTTCTTTGGACAGCTGAGGGTAATTATTATTTTTTTCTTTCTTTCTTTTTAAATTGATTACATTGCATTATGTGACACAGTTTTATAGGCACTGAGATTCTCCCCCCCCCCCCCCAGGGTGGATTCTTCCACCTTGTTGCAGAGAATAATTATTTTTACTGATTGTTGTGACTCAGAGTATTTTGATGTAAGTGCTCTAATGGGTTCAGATATGAGAAAAAGAAGCAATAGTTCTTTTGTAACTAAAATAATCTAAAATTACTGGCTGTGCAAGCTAAGTTTAGATATGTATCAGTCTAATTGTAGATATGTATCAGTCTAATTGCTGATACCCTTCATTTTTCCTCATGATCATAGTTTATATTTAAACATGATCTTATACTTTTCAAATTATTTTACTTCAAAGTATTTTGTATGTTTTGATTTCATTTACAACAGTTGGCCTTCCTGTAAGCTTTGTGTGGTGGGTGACAGAAATGATTTGTTAGATGAAAATGCAACTGCTTGCTTACCTTAGGAATCTAGCCTCTCACTCTTATTTAGTTGGAGAATAGAAATGAAAACCTACTTTCTGTTCCCACTCTGGCTCTGTCACTGCCCTGTGCAGGCATTTCCAGGCATGTAGGAATCTCTGATGGTGTGCAGAAGTGGCCAGTGATGTGGTAGTTTTAGTTCTGCTATTTCCAGGTAATTTGTCTAATTTTTAGTAGAAGAATATCAGGTATTAGAAAGGTAAAATAGTGTGCAAACTCTTAAAATTTTTGGTGGCAAAACTAGAGCATTCTTGTACTAGAAATTAGTATTAAAAGATGTTCAAAAAATTTATATCCTCTCTCTTTTTAACTGCAGAATTTGTTTAATATGGTTGTAGAAGTACCTCGGTGGACAAATGCTAAAATGGAGGTATGGATATTTTATATTAAATGTGAAATCAATGTGATGATTTTATGATGATGTAAAGACGCTTCAAATTGTCAACATATTTTGAATTTGTGATGATTGCATGATTGAAAACTTGAAGTTTAATTTTAACAAGAAAAGTTTCAAATCTGAGCATATGCTTTACGGAGTATGGTTGGTTGTTTTCCATTCTGGTTTCTTAGGTGCATAATTCAGCCATGAATTTTTTTTTCTCCCCTTTCTTTGAAAGGGGAAAACGTTCCTCAAGCATCTTCCAGTTCCCTCATTCGCATTTTTTTTAAAGATTTATTTTTATTATTTTTTATTGGAAAGGCGGATATACAGAGAGGAGAGACAGAGGAAGACTTTCCATGCAATGATTCACTCCCCAAGTGAGCGCAACGGCCGATGCTATGCCGATCCGAAGCCAGGAGCCTTTTCTGGGTCTCCCATGCGGGTGCAGGGTCCCAAAGCTTTGGGCCATCCTCGACTGCTTTCCTGGGCCACAGGCAGGGAGCTGGAAGGGATTCGGGGCTGCCGGGATTAGAACCAGAGCCCATATGGGATCCTGGGTGTGCAAGGCGAGGACCTTAACCACTTGCACCACCGTGCTGGGCCCCCTCACTCGCATTTTTAAGATTTTCATCTTTTCCGTGAAACAGGAACCTACCAAACTTACCTTTTACTTTTTAGAATTATTTTCTTTGAGAATTTGGGCAAAATCTGATCTGATTCTGAGTGGAATTTTATTTGTAGCTTAATGTGTTTAGTTAATAAACTTCTGCAACTTTGGATATGGTAGCAAATATTACTTTAAGTATGTAACTGAAATATTGATATGTAGATGTACATTTTTTCAAATTTGTACTTGGAGGGTTGTCATTGATTTTAGTAGGTTCTAGTAGGGTTTTCTGGTTAACGTTTTAGTAGGGAAAGATAATGATATTAGGTTCTGCATTTTGTTTTAAAGATTTATTTATTTTTACTGGAAAGTCAGATATACAGAGAGGAGGAGAGACAGAGAGAGAAAATCTTCCATCTGTTGATTCACTCCCTGAGCAGCCACAATAGCCAGAGCTGAGCCAACCCGAAGTCAGGAGCTAGGAAACTCTTCCAGATCTCCCACATGAGTGCAGGATCCCAGGGCTTTGGGCCATCGTCTACTGCTTTTCCAGGCTACAAGCAGGGAGCTGGATGGGAAGCGGGGCTGCTGGGATATTAACTTGTGGCCATATAGGATCCCGGCATGTGCAAGGAGAGGACTTTAGCTCCTAGGCTACCATACTGGGCCCAGGTTCTTTTTATGTTTTTTTATGTATAATGTTTCCCCAATCTTGCCACTATTCTATTCTAAGATCTAAGAATCTGTGGTATTCTTTCTAATTTATGCAGTGTTTTTTCATTCAAACAAAAGTTCAATTATTGTGTGTGTGTGTGTATGTGTAGTGCAGCTTTTTTCTTTATTTTAAATTGCAGTGTGAATATGTTTTATGGGATAATAGTGTGAAAATATCACTGATTATCATTTTTTATGATTTAAAAATATTGTGAACATTTTATGCTTTTAAATCTATGGAACACAGAGTAATAGGATTTATTAGTGCAGCATGTAATAATTTAGTCAAGCTGATCAGCAATTTCCATCACCTCACATATTTGTTGTTTTTTGATGAGAACTTTTGAAGTTTATTGAAATGTATGGTATAGTTGTAATTCCATATATATTCTCCATACTGTTAATAGTTCTTAAAACAAACAGAACCATAATCCTTAATCCTTAATCCTTCTCCATGATTGAGAGCATACTGTTTTGTCATCATCTCTCTTTTTACCCTATCCCCTTGTTTACTGTAACTATTTTCTACTCTTTGCTTCTTTGACTTCCATATGTCAGACTATATATATAACAGAATAAATGATTTTACCTACCTCTGTCTGCCTCATTTCCCTTAGCATAATGTTCTCTATTTCCAGCCATGTTGTTACAGGTGATAGATAGAATAGCCTTGTTAAAGGTTGAATACTCTTTCCCGTGCATGTGGAATACTATGTTTTCTTTATCCATTCATGTGTTGGACACATAGATTAAGTCTGTACCTTGACTATTATCAGTGGTGCTGCAGTGAACTTGGGACACACTAATTTCAAATACATGATGAAATATCCAGAAGTGGTATCGCTGAATCATATGGTAGCTTTGTTTTTCATTTTTTTGTGGAATGTCCATCAAGGCTTCTGGGTGGCTGTGCTAACTTATATTGTCACCTACAGTGTAGAAGGTTCTCTTTTATCCACATCCTCACCTCTTACTTGTTAGCTTCTCTCTTTTGATAATAGTTACTCTGACAAGTGTGAGAAAAATATCTCATTGTAATTTAATTTGAAGTTTCCTAATCATTGATTAACTATCTGTTGACTGTTTAAGTGTTGTGTGAAATGTCTGTTTGGATCTTTTGCTTGTTTTTTAATCAGGCATTTTGTTTTCTTGCTGTTAAGTTTAATTCCTCATGTATTTTGAATATTAATTCCATATTGTATATAGGATTTTCAGATATTTTTTCTCATTTTGTAGGTTGCCTCTTTACACACACTTTCAAGTGTTTCCTTTGTGGTGCAGAGATTTATTTATTTTAAGATTTTTTTTTCAAAGACTTACATGGAGAGAGGCAAAGACAGAGAGAGAGGAAAATAAATCCTCTATCCTCTGGTTTACTCTCCAAATGGCTGGAAAGGCTGGAAGTGTGCCTGTCTGACGTCAGGAGCCAAGAACTTCTTCCTGCTGCTTTCCCAGGCCATTAGGGAACCAGATCCAAAGTAGAGCAGCTAGGACTTGAACTGGTGCCATATAGGATGCTGGTGTCACAGGTGGGGCAGCTTTTCCTGCTGTAACACAATACCAGCCCTTACAAAAGGCCTTTAGTTATAGATGCCATCCCATTTATATAAAACGCTTTTGCTGCTGCATTCTTGTGGTCAAGTCCAAAAGATCATTGCACAGACCAGTGCTGTGTCATTTTCTTCCTGTGTTTGCTTCCAGTAGTTTAAACTTCCCTGATCTTACATTTAGGTTTCTAATGAATTTTGGATTGATTTTTGTGTGTCAGGTTAGGGTCTGCTTTTATTCTGCGTGTGGATACTGTTTTTCCTAGCATTATTTGTGGAAGAGACTTTTACAGGTAGCCAAATACTTGAGCCATCAGCTAGATAAGATGGATTCAGAAGTAGAACCAGCAGATTGAACCAGACCCTTCCATGTGGAATGTGGGCAACTTAAGTGGTATCTTAACCATTGAGCCAAATACTTACCCTATGCTGCATTAATTACTGTAGGTTTGTAGTTTGAAATCAAATAGGTAAAGCTGCCATCTTTATTATTATTATTATTAATAGTAGTAGTAGTATTTTACTCATGAATGCCTTTACTGGTCAGTGTTTCTTAAAGTTCACTTGAGTTTTAGAGTTGTTTTTTCCAGTTCTATCAAAAATTATGTTAGAATTTTTATTAGAATTCTCTTGAATCTGTAGATGACTTTGGGTAGTGTGGACATTTTCACAGTGTTAATTCCTTCCAGTCCTTGAACATGGATATCTTTCCATTTATTTTTTGTCATCCTCAAATTTCTTTGATTGATATTTTATGATTTTAATTGTACAGATCTTTCAGCTTAAGTGAAAGTATTTAACTTTATCACTGTTATAGTGGGATTGTTCTCTTGATTTCTTTTTTTCGGTAGCTCGTTGTTACTGTGTAGAAATGCTACTGATACTCTGGTATGTATTTCATGTCATATGGTTTTATTGTCTTATCCATTAGTTGTAATATTTTTTCAGTAGTTATTTTATGATACAGTTCTCTGAGTATAGTCCTTCATAAACAGGCATAAGTCCATCATTCTGCTATTTGAGTATATCCTGACATTGTAGGTATGGGCAATGGCAGACAGTCCAGCATCCTATTGTCTAGACATATTTAACAGTTTTTTGGGGGAGTTCATCTTTGATTTGGAAATAGAGATGTGTATTGCATTATACCTTCACATCTTGATATGGTAGTCTCTATTACACAGTTACTGCGTATCCTCTTTATTGAAAAGCCACAAAACAAAATCAACAGCAGGAAAAAAACCAGAAAATTCACAGAAACATGGAGTTAAATAACATGCTATAGAATGACCACTATGTTGCTGAAGACATGAAAAAGAAAATCCAAAACTTTCTTGAACAAAATAATGCTACTGTATAACCTATGTGTCAATGAATAAATTTTAAGAAGAAAAACTTTTTTTAAAGAAATGAAGATAAAAACAAAAACTATCAAAACCCATGAGATGTAGCAAAAACAGTATTGAGAGGGACATTTATAACATTAGGTGCTTAAAAATTCAATTATCTCAAGGATTATTAGAAAAAATTAACAAAATAAGAAATAAGAAAAATCACAGCAAAATAAGTAGAATAGAAACTAGAAAACTACGGATTACAACAAGACCCAATTTTAAAATGAGCAAAACAGTTAGCCAGACTAACAAAAAAAGCAAGAGAGAAAAGCCGAGTAAAATTAGAGATGAAAAAGAAAACATTCTAAGAAACTAGTAAGGTGATTTCTTCTTGCAGAATGAATCCTTTCATTATTATATGGTGTCCTATATCTCTTTCAGTAATTTTTATGTCAAAGTTTATATTATTTGATATAAGAATGGTTACCAACTCATTTTTTTCTGTTAGCCTGGAGTGTTTTTTTCCATTCTTTCACTTTTAGTGTCCTCATATGCCTCTCCTGGAGGCAACAGATAGATAGGTTTTGTTTTTTATCCAGTCTGCTAATCTGTGATGCTTGATTGATGAGTTTAAGACCTTTACATTCAGAAATAATATAGATAGATAATAATTTGGTCCTGTTCTTTTAGCAATGGATTGTTCCTTGTTTGATATAGTCTTCTTTTGTCTTTTGATTGGGATGTTCTCTGCATTTGCCTTTGATTTTGGTGAGTGCTATTCCTTTTCTCTGTCAGGAGAGCATTTGTAGGGCAGGTCTGGAAGAGGTGAATTCTTTCAGCTTTTCTTTACTGTGGAAGAATTCTTCTCCATTTTCAAAGACAAAGGAAAGCTTTACTGGGGAAGTTATTCTGAGCTGACAGTTTTTTTTCTTTTTGAATCTGGAACATGTCACTCGATTTTGTTCTGGCCCGTAGAGTTACCTCTGAGAGGTCAGCTGTGAGTCTGATTGCTATTCCTCTGTGTGTTCACTTTTCACGTACTTATTCAAGGATCTTTTCCCTGTGTTCAACTGAAGAGACCTTGATTATCATGTGTCTTGGTGAAGATTGCTTTTGGTCAAACCTGTTGGGAGTTCTGTGCCCCTCCTGTATTTATTTCCTAGTTCTTTCTCCAAATTAGGGAAAATTTCCTGTATTATTTCATTAAATATATTTTTTAAAAAATATTGGAAAGTGAAATATATAGAGTAGGAGAGACAGAGTAGGATCTGCTGTCCATTGATTCACCCAAGTGGCCACAACTACCAGAATGAGCTTGTAGGTGCAGAGTCCCAAGGCTTTGGGCCATCCTCAGCTGTTTTCCCGGGCCGCAAACAGGGAGCTGGATAGGAAGCGGGACACTGGGATATGGACTGGTGCCCTTATGGGATCCTGGTACATGCAAGGTGAGGACTTTAGCCACTAGGCTACTGTGCCAGGCCCCCATTAAATATTTTTAAATCCTGCTTCTCTTTCTGTGCCTTCTGGAATTTCCGTATCTCTTATATTCAGCCTTTTAAATCTGTCCCCTAATTCTGAAATATTTCTCTTAGCTTGACTCAGTTCCTCTTCCAGGTTCTTGATATTTTTACTTCATTGTTGAAGGAAGTATCTTCCAAGTCTGAGATTTTTTCTTCTGCCTAATTCATTTAATTATTGAGGTTTCCTACTGAATTTTTAATTTGCTCCATTTTGTCCTTCATTTCTAATAATTCTGCTTGATTTTGTCTTCAGTGTTGCTATTTCCTGTGTGACACATTCCTTAAATTCCTTGAACTCATATGTACTTTTTGTTGTTGTTAAGAAGCTTTGTAACAAGTTTTTAAAATTTTTATCCCCCATTTCCTTGATGTCTTCCATGGAGATTGACATAGTCTTTTGCTCCTTTGAGGGGAAGACATCAGTATTATTCATTGTACCTTTGTCTCTTATTTTGCTATTGCTCATTGCTGTTCTGGTTAGCAGATTCCTCTCCTTAAGGTTGGTTTCTAAATTGTGTTGCCCACTGATCTACAATTCGATTTTACTGATTGCGTTTGGTACCTGGTACTTTGTTTGCAGGCACTTGTACCACTCCCTTAAGTGAGTTTCTTTTTTTTTAGATTTATTTTTATTATTTTGTTATTGGAAAGGCGGATATACAGAGAGGAGAGACAGAGAGAAAGATCTTCCATCCGATGATTCACTCCCCAAGTGAGCGCAACGGGTCGATACTACGCCGATCCGAAGCCAGGAGCCTCTTCCGGGTCTCCCACGCGGGTGCAGGTTCCCAAAGCTTTGGGCCGTCCTCGACTGCTTTCCCAGGCCACAAGCAGGGAGCTGGAAGGGAAGCGGGGCTGCCGGGACTAGAACCGGCGCCCATATGGGATCCCGGGCGTGCAAGGCGAGGACCTTTAACCACTTGCGCCACCGCGCCGGGCCCCTTAAGTGAGTTTCAATCTCAGACTCTTACAGTCTTCCACCATGGTCTCCATAGCCCCAGCTTCTGGCTCACCAGTTTCCACCCCCATGTGATCCTGTACTATGACCACACCATTGCCAGCACAGCTTTTCTCCTACTCCCACTTTGAGCAGTGCTTGGAAATAGGGAGATAGTCGCTGTCCTAAATTACTCCCTTGTCAGCGGTGCTGGTCTTGCTGGGACCTGTTGGCCAGTAAGTCTGAAGGCCACCCAGAGCTAGTTTGGGTGGAACTCATAGGATGTCAGGTTGGTACTATTTTGTCTTTGAGAACAGCTTGATGTTTTGAGCCAGAAGTGAGTTCTCTCATGGCTCAGCACCTGTGCAGCTTGCTGTTGTTCCTTTGGCCCCAAAGTCTTTTCCTCAGTACACAAAATGGCAGCTGATGTGGCACTGGCTGAAGTCTGGGGCTGCAAACTACTAGGTCTGGGGCCGCTAGTCTGGGGACTAGTGCAATGTGCTGAGCTGGACATGGGTTTCTCTCCCCTGTTAGCACCTGTGGAGCTCACTGTTGTTCCTCCAGCACCACCGCCAACCCCCAGAGCCTTTTCCTCAGTACACAAAATGACACCTAACAAGTTTTTTTGGTTGAGACTTTACAAAGTGTTCTGCATATGAACATTATATTATGAAGAGTGGCAGTTTCATTTCTTCCTTTGCTACAGAAATGCCTTTCTTTCTCTTGTCTAATAGCTCTGATAGGGACTTCCAGCGGTATATTAGGGAAAACTTGCACAAGTAAACCTCCTTGTATTGCTGTAGACCTTAGAGGAAAATAATTTGTTTGCTCACATTGAACCCGTGGTGAAAATCTCTAGTTAGCTTTATTGTCATAGATTAATGGTAGTAAAATGTCCTAGATAACAGATTAAAAAAAATACATTGGTTACTCTTTTCCCCTTGCCATTCAATGATTTTATTATATGTGTTAGAAATAATGGCATGTATAAATAATAGTGCCTAAAATATCATCGTTTTCATAGTTTTTCATATGCAGTACTGTGACTTAAGAATAAGAGCTGGTTTGTTTCATTTTAAAATATCTTTGACCATTAAATTGGAATATTGAGAACTGTAGATTTTAAAAATGCTAGCTGGATTTAGGACTAACCATTTTTCATTCCCCTCTCCCCTTTTTCTTCCTGTGCCTTTCCTAGATTGCCACCAAGGAGCCATTGAATCCCATTAAACAAGATGTAAAGCATGGCAAGCTACGCTATGTAGCGAATATCTTCCCTCACAAGGGTTATATATGGAATTATGGTGCTCTCCCTCAGGTAACATTTTTGTTATAATGGTAAAACTTTCCTGTCTTTTGAAAAAAATTGCCTTGTAAATCCTTTGAAGTACTTGAATTTAAATTGGTTCTGAGGATATGTCAGTTTCAGGGGTTTGTGAATTTGAAAATTTTTAATGTGTAGTTTTATTGTGTCAGTAAATTTTATTTGAAACCATAAATATGTCTTTACTCAAGTTCTTGGAGTTAGGCATATCAAAATTCACATTTGGTGTTTTGGACACATTTCTTTTTCTGGAGAAGGCTTTATTTACAGTCATGCCTTTAAGTATGATAGGTTAGACTTCTACATGTTTATGTATGATCACAATAATTTTATTTCTTAAACTTCAGTAGATGAGTATCTTCTTTTTTACATTTTTTTTCAGGTCTTATTGTGGCTAGGTAAGTTGCATTACTAAGGGTTGTGAACTTGTCATTTTTAAGTAGAAAGCACTGCAACCATAAGCAAGGACTACATAATGCCAAGGCGGCATGCCTGTCTAGTACAGCGCCACGAATGTGCCGAGTCAGAAGTCTAGGTTTGGGTACCACAGGGAAGCATCTGCCTTTTTGTTTCCAAAAATCATTAGACCATATATCTAACTGGGGTTAGTGTTTTTATTTATCTTAACATTTTTGCAAAATATTCCAAGATGCATCTGGAGAAATACATGAAGGAAAAAAAGATTCTTACTTAATAAAGCCTGCAGGGAACAGCTGCCTTTTTAGAATAAGCTTGGAGAAGAAAAGAGAAATGATTTCTAAAGGTTCAGGCTGCCTTTGATTCAGTTAGCCCACCCATGCAGATACATTCCTATTTGAAATGGGCTCAGAATGCGAATATCTGCTAGAATCATGAAAGCAGATTTTCTGATTTCCCATTTGCCTAAATAGATACTTTTTTTTCCTGACTCAACAGTGAAAGGTTAAGAAAGTTGTGTATCTATGAATGGAGGCTGTAGGAAGGACGTGTGAGTACAGGGAAGGCCAGAGAAGCCATGGAACTAGACACACCCAAAGCAAAGCAAGTCTGGATTAAATTCACTTGTTTGTTTGTCTATAAACAGTTGCCAAGGATTTATATGCTAGGGAATATATTGTATGTTACATGTATAGACTCAGAAGAGATTTTAAACAAGGCGGCAGAAAGAATAATTAAGCATGTGGATTTGGGAGCAGGTATATCATCCTGGGTGTGATGCTTTTGTTTTCCCTTGCCTCACTTTGTAAAATGGAGAGCATAAAATACCTACTGTATATGGTTTTTGTTAAGGTTAAATGCTTTTGTCAAATTCTTCATGGTGTCCAAAATATTCCCTTTAAAGCCTTTAACCTTGTCAGGTGTATTTTCATTTCTTATTTCACACTTTTTTTTAAACCTTTCTATAACAGTTAGAAATTGTAACCTGTTGTACCATTTAGTTATGTTTAATTTTTTTTTTCAGCTGCAATACAGACTTAATAAGGGCAAAGATTTTGTTTTTATACCATTTGCCTAACTTAGTGCTTGGTACAGAGTAGGTTTTCAGTAAATATTTTTGTGAGATGAATAGATTAGTGAATACATTGTGTGTGATGTGTCTGTTTCATAAGTAAGGATATTGAACTTTGCTCTTCTCCAATTATTTGTCCTGTCAGCAGGAAGTTTGTTCAGAGCAATTACCCAAATGTGCTTGAGAGAACATTTAAGCAACTGAACTTCCTCTTAAGTCACAGTCTGTCTACTTGGGATTTTATCAGTTTACTGTCATTATTTCACACCTTCGGCTGTGTAGACTGTTAACCTTCATAACTTCTACAGTCTGCATTCCTAAACTTCTTCAAAGTTTGAGATTAGCCTGGGTTAAAATCATCTTTATTACAGTGTTGCAGCTCTCTGCATGATTTTTAGGATACCTCTCTGAATAATTTTTAGGGACTAACCAACCTTGACTTAAAGATTTCTGTTGTTGATGTGTTTATTATTTTGATCTTATCTAAATATGGCTCATTGAGCCAAGTAGTTTATAACCTGAGTCAAGTGACTGATCCTCTAGGCCTTTTCTTCATCTAGGTGATCCTATCACCTCTCTTACAAGGTTATTGTGAGTGTTGTATGAACTGATCAAAGCAAGGTGTTTAGTCCCACAGTGAGTGCTCTGTGGTGATGATACTGTTGGGATTGGTAAAGCTGATAGTGCAGAAAAAACTGGTTCTCCACATGGCTGCAGCAACCAAGTGTGCTCTAGGCTGAAGCCAGAAACTGGAAACTCCCTCAGGGTCTCCCACATGGGGCCATCTTCTGCTGCCTTCCCAACTGTATGAGAAGAGTAGGAGCACTGAGCCAGAGCTGATATGGAGTGCTAGAGTCTCAAGCAGCAGTTTATTCTGCTGCACCGTATCACAGACCTCTCAGGTTTTTGTATCTGGAGTGTCTGGTTTGGATCACAGCCCTGTTCCAGAATGGTTTTTTCATACATTTATGATTACTTATATGGCATTCACTATAAGTGGTATACCATTTATTAATATGATATTGATCATGTCTACTCATCCCTGATCCTACCCAGAGATAGGACTTAAATATTTTGTCATAGGAATGGGTGATTGATACTTAGAGGAAAAAGAAGCAGCAGTGAGAGATTCAGAAGGAAGGTAACTGCCACAGGAAAATAAATGTTTTAAGAGAAAGAGAGAGCGAGCAAGCACCTACCTACTGGCTCACTCTCCAAATGCCTGCAACAAGTGGTACTGAAATGCTGTGAAAGCCTGAAGCCTGACACTTAATCCCCAGGTCTCCCACGTGGGTTTCAGGAACACAGTTATTGAAGCCGTCACCATTGCTTCACAGATTGTATTAGCAGGAAGCTGAAGGCAGCAGCAAGAGCTGGGGAAACCCAGGAACTCTGATGTAGTTCGCTCACACCCACAAAACCATCCACTCCCAGACAGTCACGTAAAAGAAAAGAACCATGAAACAGAATGAAATTATATGTGAAAGTATTACCATTTAATTGCTGTTAGCATCAAAGTTAGGACATCATTAACAGTGATTAGTAGCCTGAGTTCTAGAACTACAGTTTCAAAATTTTGTGAACTAGGTGAAGGTTCAGCTTTGTTTGTTTACTTATCAGTAAAATGAATTAATAACAATCTGTTCTTCATGGAGTACATCCATATATAGATTTGTGTTCCTTAGAAAGTATCACATATAATTACTGTGTTAACAGTTATTATTTTTCTTTTTTACAAAATAATATTATGATTTGGGTGCTAAAATGCTGTTGGGCTTTGTTGATTTTTAAAAACATAAATTTGGTTCAGTTTATTTCTGGATACACTAAATTGGAACTAAAGAGTAAATATTGGAGCTTAGGGCTCCAAAGTTTAACATAGGAGTTCATGTTTAATTATCTACATAATATAAGAGGAAATAATGGATAATGTAAAATCCTAGGTAATAATAATAAGCTGAATCTTGAACACAGTCTCTGCTTCCTATTTTTGTAAATTCAAGACAAATTACTTTATGGAACTTTGGCCATTTCATTTATAACCAAACAATTAGGAAGTTTTTAGAAGGGATGGTGTCTAAGAGATAGTTAAGTATTTAAATAGATAGCAACTTCCTATTATACTACTCCTGGTTTTTGAGATTTAATGAGATAGGTAGAGCCTTTGGTGAAGATTGGTTTATGTATTTGAAAGTCAGAGTTGGCAAGAGAGATCTTCATCTGCTGATTGACTTACCAGTTTGCTGCGGTCATCAGGGCTGGGACAGGCCAAAGCCACATGTCAGGAGCTTTATCTAGGTCTCCCATTGCATGGCAGGGGTCCAGACATTTGGGGCATCCTTTGCTGCTTGGTACATTGGTAGAGAGCTGGGTTGGGAGTCAGAATTGGAGCAGCTGGGATGCCGACTTTACAGATGGTGACTTAACTGACTACTCCACAGTGCTTACCTGTGAGGTGCATTTTTTAACTGGCATGAAATGCAGCAAAAGTGTGTTTCTTTTCTAGGTTATGTCTTGTTCTTTAGTTTATGAGGTGAAAACAGTTTCTTGTAGTGCAAATGAGTTTGAAAATAGTAGTTTTATTTCTCAAACCTGGAAAGCTAGACCACGAAGCTGTTACTGCATCAGAGGAAGCAAGAAATGTTAGAAGTCACAGTTGCAGTCAGAGGGAAGAAGGAAACAAGAGCATTGCCGGTGAGAACAAACTGAAACTTGAGGAGCAGGTGTGGCCTTAGTTACTGACTAAACTTGGAAGATGAGTGTATCTGGAAATACCACCCACTTTGAGATGTGATTCTGCAGACAGTTGAGAGACAGAAAGAAGGAAATACTATAAATTTGTTTTAATTGTAATGATTCTTATGGGCATGCTGGTGTTGGCCTTGAAGGTTTTTCGCTAGGAGTACGGTTGTCTATAAAACTTGATGAATTTGTATGGAAAGACGAACATATATATTATAGTGCATACTAACCTGTAACTCTTCTTTTTTAGACTTGGGAAGATCCCCGTCAAACAGATAAGAGCACAAACTGCTGTGGAGATAACGATCCTATTGATGTTTGTGAAATAGGCTCAAAGGTTTGTTTTATAGACTGTGTTAATTCTAACATGTGTTTTGCTTCATTCATGCCATAAAGTTTCAGCCTCTATTCTTCAGTGCTTCAAGGTTTGAATCTATTGTTTCATCTGATATTCAATTTATTGTTACATTTTTATCTTCTTTTTCCTAAACCAGGGTTTGTAAACTATAGGCCCATGGATAATCTTGCCACCACTTGTATTTATAAATAGCACAGCCATTCCCACTCATGTTTGTATTGTTTGTGGCTGCTTTTTTATCACAACATAAATTGAGTTGTAGATCAGATTTTACAGTTTGCATGGACTAAAATATTTGTCATCTGACCTTTTACACAAAAAGTTTGCTAAGTTCCATATCCAGCTTCTTTGCCTGTTACCCAGACAACTTTAATGTGAAGAAATTCACGTTGTGTACCTTTAATGTATACCTGTTCCTAGACTGCCAGATGCCATCAGAGGGATAGAAATCCCACAATCCCATAGATTAATTATCCATCAGTTCTATATATGTCTTTGATCAATTCCTCCTTATTCTGTTTTCTGCTACATTTAGTGCTGATATTTTTTGTGCTTTTGTGCAGTCAGCTTGTCTCGCTTGGTTCTCATTACCAACAGGGCATCTCATCTTCATATTCATAGGGCTCATAGAAACTGGCAAACAAGAACCCCTCGTCATTCCGTCAGATTTAACATTCTACCTATGCCTACAGACATTCTTCATGTCCTCCTGCTGTTCTGAGAGCTGTGAGTTTTACCTAAGACCAGGACCTAAGCTGTGGTCTAGATCTGGTTCTTTCCACTCTGAGTGATGATAGTTCTTTACCCTTTCTCTTGGTTGTCTAGCATTTCTGGCTTCCTTCCTTATGCTGCTTCTCTTCTTTTTTCAAGAGAACTTTTAGAAATAGTATTTTCAACACTAGTTTTCATTTTCTACTTTTCACTTAATGTTTAACCCACTAAAACCCCCTCCCAATTATTTCCATGGAACTGATGCCAGTAGATCTGTTAATTTGATTTAAATCATACCCAAGTAGGCCTATTTGATAGGCTTTATCTAACTTAAATTTGTCATAGTGTTTTTTTACTGTTGACTTTTTCCTTTTTGGGTCAAAGTCAGTTATTCACTGATGACAAGTATTATCATATCTTGAATTTTTTGTGGTCATTCTGGGTCCATAGGCTTTATCTAACTTAAATTTGTCATAGTGTTTTTTTACTGTTGACTTTTTCCTTTTTGGGTCAAAGTCAGTTATTCACTGATGACAAGTATTATCATATCTTGAATTTTTTGTGGTCATTCTGGGTCCATCTTTCTGGTTTCTTTGATATGCTCCTTTGTGTCTGCCTGTTCCTTGGTTAACTTGAGGTTCCTATGTTTGTGCAACTCTTGTTCTCATGTAAGAGCTCCTTTGGCGATCCAATCCCAAGGACTGATGGTTTTGGTTTGGCTATCACATTGACAACTTTACATCAAACCCTCATACGCAGCTGCCTGCATCTGCACAAAGGTATATTCCAGACATCTTAAACTCATATCAAACACAATTATTTTTCTCTGATCTATTCCTTTCATTATTTCTGGGCTCATTAAATGATATCTCAGTTTCTTCCGTGCATGCACCTCTCAGTTCTTACATCAGAAAACAAGGAAGTTGATTCTGTTCTTAAATAGCTTATAACTATTTCTCTCTATTCTCATTGCTATTGGTTTTGTTGACCTTGTTTTAATTCATTTAATTCATCTGTTCTCAGGGATGTCTAGGCCTTTGTGCAGTGTATTCCCTCAGTGCAAAATGGACCATCCGCCCCTTCACTTTATTTACTTCCTTTTTTTGTGCTTCTCTTCCCCCTGTCATTTTCATATTCTCACTGAAGAATTACTTCCTCTGGATCCCTTTTCTTGACTTTCTATAGGCTAAAATAGTTGTCCATTGTGTGTGTTTCTATAATACTAATATATTTGCTGGGAATGCAGACTTGTTCTTACACCTAGTGCCATGTTGAACTCAGTACAGTTACATAACATAGGCTTAATTTAATAAGGTTGAATTAGTGAGTCACATGCTTTTATTTTAAATCAAGTCAGTTTCAATGTAAACTCATTTTAGCACTTCTAGTATTTAACTGAATAGCACTAACTTTGTTGCTGGCAAACCAAAGGAATGGCTAAGAAAAATTTGATGAGTTTTTACTGAAGAGTAGGACTAAATATATTAAATATGAGTGATTTTTGACATGAAGGTAATTAATATTGGAATCATTTTTTTAATTTAATTTGAATTACACTTTTTTTAAAAAAGATTTTTTAAAAAAGTCAGATATACAGAGAGGAGGAGAGACAGAGAGGAAGATCTTCCGTTTGATGGTTCACTCACCAAGTGACTGCAACAGCTGGTGCTGCACCGATCTGCAGCCGGGAACCAGGAACCTCTTCTGGGTCTCCCATACGGGTGCAGGGTCCCAAGGCTTTGGGCCGTCCTTTACTGCTTTCACAGGCCACAAGCAGGGAGCTGGATGGGAAGTGGAGCTGCCGGGATTTGAACTGGCGCCCTTATGGGATCCTGGGCGTTCAAGGCGAGAACTTTAGCCGCTAGGCCACACCGCCGGGCCCTGGAATCATTTTTATATTTCATACAGAAAGCTTGGTACATAGTAGGTATTTGGTATAGAATTACTGAACCATATTGCCTTATGTTTCCTATGAATATAAATGATCAAATGAGAATGCTTTTGGTTTACTGCAGAACAGAAAGTCATAAAATATGGAAGAAATTCTCAATCAAGAGCAAGAGATTCTAGCATAATGAAATTATTAGATGGGGGCCCAGCGTGGTGGCGCAAGTGGTTGAGGTCCTTGCCTTGCACGCCCGGAATCCCATATGGGCGCCGGTTCTAATCCCGGCGGCCCCGCTTCCCTTCCAGCTCCCTGCCTGTGGCCCGGGAAAGCAGTCGAGGACGGCCCAAGGCTTTGGGACCCTGCACCCGCGTGGGAGACCCAGAAGAGTCTCTTGGCTTCGGATCGGCATGGCATCAGCCATTGCGGCTTACTTGGGGAGTAAAGCATCGGACGGAAGATCTTCCTCTGTGTCTCTCCTCTCTGTATATCTGCCTTTCCAATGAAAAAAAATAATAAAAATAAACCTTTTTTTAAAAAAGAAATTATTAGATGTAACATAAAAGAAAAATTAATTTCTGGCATTGCAATTGCCAATCAGTAAAATGTGTATGCTCTGTGCTACATAATGACATTTTGGCTTGTGGTAGATAGATACATACAACAGCAGATCTGTAAGATTATGTCTTACTGACATCAGCCACCTTAGCTTGTGGTTGTATACTTTGCAATGTTTGCTCAACAGTGGACTCACACAGCACTGCTTCCCTCTGTGGCGGTGCTAGCCATCAATGACACATGACTCTACTGCTGCTGTCTTCTAGAACTCTGCATTTTGTAGGCCTGGCCGCTATTACAATTTGATAATCACTAAACTGATGGACTTTTTTCCCTCCATGAAATCATGTTTCTTATTTTTACATGATTTTGTTTTATCTTTGATCCAAATTCCATCACAATTTTAGCTTTTTTTCCTCTGATATTTATTGTATAAGAAAATTTTAATTATGTAATGAAACCAAGAAGAAATACTCCTTCACACTGAATTGTAATATCAATATATAATGTTCATTTTATCTTTTCATGTTGTACACCTCTGTGGAAAATAGTAGTAGCACATTTTGATTTGTGGGGTATTTTTCCACTTTATTTTTTCTTGTTGCAGAGTTTATATGAAATTTTTCTTGGAGATAGATTTTTCCTTTTAAATTTCCTTTGGGATAATTAGATATGATAGGCGGACTTTCGGAGATGGCCCCTTGAAATTGCACACTCTTGTCCTTATATCCTGTACATGTGATTGGTTATGGAATGGTATATTACGGTTTACTCTAAAGCAGACAGATCATCCTGGATTATTGTGCAGGCCCAGCGTACATATTCAAGTCCTTAAAAGCAAGGAGCTGTTTGGCTGGTGGCTGAAGAGGAAGTCAGGTTCATATGAGGAAAACTAAGATATTGCTGGTTCAAAGGAGGAGGAAAGGCACAGGACAAGAAAAGCGGCAACTTGTGAGTATGCCGTGTGGTCCACTTAAGATCCAGCAAGTGAGTGGAGGCAAGTGAGTGAACTTTAGTTCAGCAGCTGCAAGGAGCTGATTATGAAGCACAGAGTCCAGTTGTGCTGTGCTTCACCTCTTGATCCTGGAAATGGTGGTTTGTTTATTCTGTGTTAAACCTCTGAGTTTGTGCTGTTGTTACACCGAAAGAGAAACACATTCTTAGCATAACTAGATTTCTACAGGTTTTTTTTTTTTTCATCATTTTCTTAAGAAAAAAAAAAAGGTTATTTGCAAGGCAGAGTTTCATAGAAAAAGACAATTAGATCTCTTCCATCATTGGTTCTCTTTCCACATTGCCACTATGGCTAAGATTTCAGCAGGCCAGATTCAGAATGCTGGAATTCAGGTCTCCAAACATTTGGACCACCTTCTGATTTCCCAGGAACTGTTTTGGAAGCATAACAGTGGGAACCTGAGCCAGTGCTCCAGTATAGGAACTTGCCTTTGTAAACCATAGCTCAAACCAGTGCAGCACGACACCAGCATCTTTGATTATTTTTGTTGTTGTTGTTGTTGAAATTTCACTTTGTTCAGTTTCTGAACCAGCATAGAATATTGTTATAGGCTACTGTTACATTGTGTTCATATTTAGCTTCTGAGAATTAGTAGTAGCTAAGTTTGAACTGGTAAATACCTGTAGAAACCAAAGGGAAAAGCTGTGAAGGTCTTTTGTTCTACTTCATGTACATATTGTTTCCTTTACTCTTCAGCCCTGTAGCAGAAGGGCTATGCTTTCCATTTTTCTGTTGAGAAAGCAAAGCTTAATCATGACTGCTGCTGAAGAACCATATTATTGTAAAATATTGGGGGCAGAGGGCAAGGAG